ACATTGTTAAAGTTATTATAATTTAAAATCAACTTAATAAAATAATAACTAATTATATGTTATTAATTTATATAAATGAAAGGAGGTGGAGGTGGAGGGGTTGATGCAGGCCGTAGTCATACCAAATTTTCTGGTGGGGCAAAGCAAACTTTAGGGGGGGGAGTTATATATAAAACAATGTCTGTCTAATATTTTTAAGGGGGCAACGCCCTTTCCCACCCCGTGGCTACGGGGGCCTGGGTTGATGACAAAAACTGCCACATATGTAGCATACTCACAAATAACTTTAGGACTACATGCCTGGTTATAACTAATGTCTATATGGTTTTCGGCTCCCGCTTTAAATGTAGACACCTTTTTGATTAAAATGATATACCTATTGTAATATTTCTTTGAGCAATTAAATAATAGTGGTTATAGAATTTTAAACTAGATAGCGCTTCTTGTTATTAAGATAAGGAGACCAACGTTTATAAAGTGGCCATAGATTATTCTGTGGCCATTCAAAAGTTATATTTTAATCTATGAAAGTGGACCAACAAAATGCGGACTGTTTTTGTCACCAGAAGTGCGTCATTCAATAGGAGGGCTACATTTTACAATTATAGCATTTAGTATAATAGTGTTTATGTACGTTTTTCGAATTAAACTTGATTTATTATTTCTTTAAAATGCTTTATGATTTGGATCAGATCTAAAACATGTACACACAAGTAGGTGACTCGGTTAAAATTGGGCGCTTATAAATTGCCCCCATAAGCAGGAAGTAAAAATACTATAGTATAATGCTCCAGGGATTTTTTGATTTCTAAAAATAAGTATTGTAAATTGCGCCCGAGATTTTTTGGGGTTTAAAATGGGTATAGTAAATTGCTCCCATAATAAAATGTTCACGATTATTTTAACTATGAATTAGTGCCAACGATGCCATGAAAATAATTGGCAATGTTCTTGCTATATTTTATTTGTTGATTTTTTTCCGAATATTTGGGCATCAGCTTCCGCAACATTAACACGGACAACTAATGCCAGCGAATCTTTCCACAGTCATTTAAATAAAAGCTTTTATATAGTCCATCCTCATATTTATAATTGCATGGCTAAAATATTAGAGTTACAATCTGAAATTTATATAAAATTAATAGCATAAAAAAATTGAAATAAATTATTCAACAATACAATGAAAACACTATTACGAGGATTGAAATTGTATTTTTTATTATTAACATTTTTAACCTAACAAAAAATATATAAAACTATAATTAATACCATAATATTTTWAAAAAAAGTTCTATTTTTATTAACTAACCAAGCAAACCAAAAAATATTTTTGGAGGACAGTGATAGCCGCTTCATCGGGTGTCCTCTGGGTAATGCCAAATAACTATTATAA